GTTGTGTGTGAATATAGCTTTTTAGCCCCCGCCACCTCTGAGAACCGTAGGGGGCTTTTGATGAAGATGGCTTGCTAACAACCCGAGAAAAGCCTGCGTATTTTGCCTAAAACTGAGTCATGTAAATGAGTTATCTAAAACAATTTACTCCCCACCCTGTGTCGTTCAGGAGACAGATCAGCACAACACTGACTCATTAATGCATGTAGGCTGATTATACATTTCAACCCTGACAGCACCTGAACTACTCAATTAACAATTACAAACAAGCAATTCACTCAAGGACTGGAAAGCTGACCCTTTGTTAATCTGAAAAGAAACTCATCCTTGGGTCTGCCACGCCATTGCGTGGAGTGGCTTACATGTTCAAATGAGACGGCTCAAATCTTAAACATAGATTTTAGACATTTTAGATTTGAGATATTTTAAATATTAGACGTTGGAACCGTATTCTTTGAATGAGTTATTTTTCATTAGGACAACACTACTTTTAAAATTTATTCATCCTAAATATATATTTTGAAAAGTAAAACAATATGATTAAAATACAATTTATTTAAGTACTCTTTAAAATGAAGGTTCTTTATACACTGTAAAAAATCTTGCCGCCTTAAATTTTTGAGTTGAATCAAATTAAATTTTCTAGTCATCTCAACTTACATCAAACAAACTAACTAAAAACTACTAAACTTGATATAACTTAAAACATTCAGTTGAAACCTGAACAACTTACTAAAATGAGGTAAAGCAACATATGTTGTCTTGACTTTTTGTCATAACATTTTTAGTGTAGGCATTGATTGATCCATGAAGAACATTTAACATATATAAAACCTTTTTATTCCACAAAAAGTACTTGTGGTACTGGCGGTTTCCTCCTGGTGCTTTGTTTTCCCCCGCAAGTCCAAAGACATGCGCTGTAGGTGAACTGGGAAAGCTAAATTGTCGGTAGTGTATGTGCGTGAATGGGATATGGGTGTTTCCCAGTGATGGGTTGCAGCTGTAAGGGCATCCACTGCGTAAAACACATGCTGTATAAGTTGATGTTTTTGAGTTCTTCTTGGCCTCTTTATTTTTTAAGAGTGTAGATTTGATAAGAAAATTGTTAAAAATTCAGCTTTTTTACTTTTTAGTTGTGACATTCTCTTGAAATTTCTGAGTGAAACTTTTTATAAAGTTTATAAATCACACAAGTTTTGGTCTTACAAAGTCTTCAGAATTGCAACAGTATTTCTATTTATCTTTTTACATTCACACAACTTAAAGAAAGTATAATCTTCTGTGTTTTCAGTGAGAAACGATCATGAACTAATAGGGAACAAATTATTGTGTTTACATAGCAATTGTGAGCTACTGTCAGTGTTCTATTTTAATTAAGAAACTTAATTGTAATTACTTGCGAAACTTCTGAGAGTTACAATCTGAAAGGATGAGAATTGCAAGTATTTATTTTCCAAAATACAAATTCAAGATTTAAACAGTTACGAGGAAAAAAGTGGTTAATAAAGCTGAGACTTTTCTTCTTGAATTTCACACTCAAGATTCTTTTCTCATAATTGTTAGGGGAAAACATGTATTTTGCTATTTAAAAACCCGCAATTGCAATTATATCTTAAATTTGTGAGGACAAGGTTGCATAATATAAACTCAGAATAACGAAAAAGGATGGATGGATGGATGGATGGATAGATGATAGACAGACAGACAGACAGACAGACAGACAGACAGACAGACAGACAGACAGATAGATAGATAGATAGATAGATAGATAGATAGATAGATAGATAGATAGATAGGATCAAATCTTTCACTGGATGATGTGGTAGTAGTTGATGGCATTATGAATATTAGTGGCAGACCGGGGACACAGAGCTTCGACTAGGTGTGACTTTTGGCAGTGTTGGCTGGGAGATCATCCAATGGGCACCTGCTGCTGCTGCCACCAGCGTCTGTGCGCAGAGAACAAAAGGGGCCATTGAGCACATAACAGCTGTTGCACTGTTGCCTGCCTGAGGGCCCCCGGCCCCCAAGGTCTGTCTACTGGGGGAAGCCCCCTCCTCCTCTTCAATGTTGACCTCCATACAGCTCTTTCAAGAGACTGCATGGTAGCCATCCTGCTGCCACATTGTTAAATACAGAACAGTGACATGGGATTCACTATCAGCCTTGGTCAGGTTAAAGGGATAGTTCACCCAAAGTGGAAAATCTCACTACTCACTTGAAACAGTTTTCAGAGCATGTGAAAAATGTTAGAAACATGCAAACATTGACATCCATTATATTTGAATATCCGTAAATATTACGGATTTCTAACATTTTTCAGAATATCTTTGTGACACCTAAAGATTTAAAACTTTAGAGAGTAAAGGGTGATTAAATGTTTAGTTTTATGCAAACTATCCTTGTAAGAGCTTAGCATGATGGACCAAAGCTGCTTGGAGAATAAAATTAAGCTTCCAGCATCCATTTCTTCTGCAAAACCTTACTTCGTCTGCCACAAAACATATGGCGGATATCCGATGTTGCATATCAGCCTTTGCTGTAGAACAACAATGTACATATGTACTGTTTTGTTCAAATAATTGTAAGCAAATTCAGCAGTTTGCCATTTTTATTAACCGAAATGTTACAGCCAGAGCCCCGAAATTGCCTTAAGCAGATTCCAGTCACCAGCACAGCACCCAAAACACTGCCAGACCAAGGCAGCAGAGCGATTGTCAGTGTGCAATGTAATGAATTACCCTTGTCTCAGCAGCAGCTGTTAAGGAGCTCACAGACCTCAAGTCCAGCCGTCTGATCGTGACAGACAAAGCATCACACTGACATCTAGTGGATCATGTCCTGGGTCTCTCCCTAACACTCGTACTCAGGCTGCAAGCAGAGGGCACTGTGTTATGTAGATGCACGAGCGAGACAGCCATTACAGGCCCTGTTCACCATTTTGTGACGTTTCATAGATCTCATACATGATGCTGCAGTTCAGTGCATCTGCTGTTTTGGACTCATGTTGTGAAGCAGCCCATATTTTTTCCCAATCTGCATGGATTGCTTTTTGATAATCAGATCAGCTTAATGTAAGACTGCTCATAATGCAACCATCCCAGCTCCATTAACAGCCAAATTAGGCTGTTTCTGTACATGCATGTCAGATTAACAACTTGCTGGGGGTTTTCCAATAAACTGTAATGTGGTGCACTACAGGATGTAGCCTTGAAAGTGGATTGAATAGTTGTCATTAGTGTTTGTTTTATTAATGATGCATCTTTGCTTGCTCATGTGTCTTTTAATAAACTGCCAAATTTAATTTATTTTTATACACAACCATATATATTTACAAGTTGGCAGTGTATTCAATAACACATGAGCAAGTAAAAGATGCATTATTCTGTAGCTGCACATATTTTAGGAGAGATTGTGCAGTACTTAAACCATTTATCTCTTTAAAAAAATAAAACTCATGTCAAGTTTTTTTAGAACAAAATTTTAATATACGTTGCTACTATCCTTAAAGCACTTTTACTGATCTGTCTTAAAGAGGTTTAATAAACTTAAAATCTAGGGATACAGTCTTTCAGTGACTTCTATCCCTTTGCTACATTGTACCTAGCATTAAATGGTGTTTAAATGTTTATAAAATAAATATAATTTATTGAGGTGTTACAAAAAAAAAAAGTATAACACTAACAGACAAACGGACTATAACTATTTGTCAACTTCAAATGCTACTTGTTAAAACTAAACACTGTAAAATCCTTTCTGTGTGCTTAAAATTAAAAATCACAACTGTGATCCATGTTACAAAAGGTGACCATTTTATATTACAATAAAACACAGTAAGGGTTAAGGTGTTGTGTAAAGAGTGGACTATACAGCTGTCAAGCATGTAGTGAACATGGGTGATATCCATGAATACATATATAGATTTCACTTCTTTGAAAATGCAGGTTAACTACATGCGTGACAGCTGTACAGTCCACCATTAACAACACCTGAACTCTTCCTGCATTTTATTGTAAATTAAGAACATTAGGGCTGTTCGATTGATTGAAAAGTAATCGAAATCAACATTCAAAACCTATAGTTGATCTAATTTTTCCAGGTCAATTTTTATCCAATTACTTTCTCTACATGTGGAGTCATGCGACCCTGCTCTGTTGAGGCTGATTTATACTTCATTGGCTAGTGGTCAAGTAGGACGATGGACCCATTTTTGCGCCAGAGACTCCTTGAGACGGTGTATTTTCCATTACATTAAAATTATTATTTACAATAAAATATTTGTTAACAGAACATGCAAGAAATGCACTGTTTGAAATATTAATAACGGGATATCCAAGAGTTATTTGATTTAGAAGAGATCCTGCTCATTTTATACCTTTAATATGAAAAAAAAAATCTAAAATATTTTGTTTCCAAAAGTGAAAGTTATTTTCATCGTTTTAATTTCAGTTGTTCAACACTGATTAAATATTATGTACAAGATATACAAGAGGTATTTTATTTAGAAGAGATACTGCTTATTTTTTACTTTTAATAAGAAAATATTATATTCAAATATAATAATTTATTTTGTTTCCAAAAGTGCAAGTTATTTATTTTCACCTTTTTTTTTTTTAAGTGACTTTTGGTTTTAGGTAGTGTGTTTTAATTTCAGTTGTTCCAACGCTAATGTTCAATAAATAATCATAGATATTAGAAAGTGTGTGTCCTACAATTATTTTAAAATCAAGTAATGCACCCTTCATTCAAACATCTCTCACTTGTAATATGTGTAACAGCTGATTTACTGTACAAAACTTGTCTGTGAAATATGAAAAAAATGAATCGTTTATTAGGCATAAGAGTTCAAATGTTCAATTAATCGAGATTTTGATTTTAGGCTAAAACACCCAGCCCTAGATAACGTGCACCTTTTCTTAAAGCTGCTTTGGAATGAATTTTGTGAATAGGGCTGTACAAATAAACTTGAATTTCAAAAATTCAATCATATAACAAACCAAAATGGTAAACGTTAAAAACTGTCTGAGACAGCAGCTTTATTTAAACATATGATATAGAGAAATGTAGCAGCATCTCATTTAAAAACAACCTATAAAAAAAGTGTACGGTCAAATTTGTTTACAAACACTCAGAAGTTGACCAGAGGAAAATCTTAAATATAAAAATCTGAGACCTAGCTTCTGAAGCTGGTGATTTCTCTGGTCTATTCTGGCAGTGGAGACTCGAGTCCCCATGACAACCTGTCAGGATTTTGCTGGTCCAAATGGCAACCTGAGCCACAGAGAGTCATGCCCGTGTTTGTGTCGGGGGGGATCTCTATGGTCATCTTTCCATCTGCTCCAGACCCACCCTTTTTTAGCAGCAATCAGAGCCATAACAGCTCTGATATTTTGGCAGGTAGTCTATGTTTGAAAATTTAAAAAAGATTAAAATACCATACATTTGGACCATTAAAAGTATTTCCTTTTCTCAAGTCGCATAGAGCGAAAGAGATGAGGGGGGAAACAAAATGTAAAAAAAAAAAAAAAAAAAAAAACACATTTTTGGTCTCGAGTCTTATGCCAATGCTTGTGAATGCATCCTGTAATGCCACTGATTTGTTAAATCGGAGCTGAATTCATCAGTCAGCACTGCGTCCTATTCCATACATGAAGGAAGTCAAGAGATGGTGCTCTCTGGCTTCTCGCTGCTTGGTGGTGGCGTAAGCACTCCAGTGGGAACCGGAGACCTCTGACTGCTCTCAATGTCCACTAGCGGATAGGAGTGAACCTTTCCCTGAAACACAAAAAAAAAAAAAAAAAAAAAAAAAAAAAAATGAAATAAGAGGAATTGAAAGAAATGCGTTGTGACTCTGGGGCTAATTTATGCAAAAATTCTAAACTGAGAACCAGACAGACTACCAAAAGTTATAAAGTCTGTTAAACCTGACAACCCCCCAAAAACCAGTTAAGTTTATTTAAATATCAAAGTAAACATGCATGTGTGCATATGCAATCAAGTTATTATACAATTTTGGTCTCAGTCATAATTTCTTGAATTTTAGAGAGTACAAGTTCATTTATTTCTAACATTAATAACTTCTCATCCAAAGTGGCTTCTATCAAGGCTTGCGCACATTGGCATGATTTTCCCTGATGAAGTAGCAAAATGATTATTTTGATAAAGCAGTGCCTGAAAACAGTTCTGAATTGTCTATCACAAATGTCTTTGTGGTTACAAAGCATTTCCCTGTGCAACCAGGTTGTCACTTTGGTTATTTTGATAGAAAATGGCCGATTTTCAAGTGCCGCATAACATCACTGCATCAGCTGCATTTCGAGTTCCTTTATTACAAGAGTACAGTTCATGGCTATATCAGGCTAGAAAATGGCAACTTTTCTTTTTTTCTTCAGCCTTAGTACACAATTCAACTACAGAAGACTCGAACTTTACAAAAATTATTCGAAACTTGTCATTTGGGTGAGATGCTAATGGTTCGATCCGATTCAATGATCTATGCTAAGCAAATCAAACAGTGCCTCTGTCAGACCCGAAGCTTGGTTAAATAGATTTGGTTGAACTCTAGCAGACTTGTAAAATGAGCCTTTAAGGAATGTTCTTTTAAAAAGATATTTAGGCTTGAGGGAGACAAGGGTTCTAGCGGTCCTAACAATTTTGGTTCCATATAAATATATATATATATATATATATATATATATATATATATATATATATATATATATATATATATATATATATATATATATATATATATATATATATATATATATCATTAAAATATAAAATGTATTTCTTTTAGAGAGAGCTCTCTATCTATATCTATAATTCTACATTATTTCTGGAGAACATTATGAAAGGTGATATTCACCAATGTGATGTACGCTGCCATTTAGTTCATCTGCTATTTGAGTCCCATTGTAAAGCAACCCACCAGTGCACACATTTTCTCCCCCAATCTGCATGGATTTTGGATAATCAGATCATCTTAAGATAAGACTGCTCATAATGCAACCATTCCAGCTCCATTAACAGCCAAATTAGGCTGCTTCTGAACATGCATGTCAGATTACACTTACTGGGGGTTTTCTAATAAACTGTAATGTGGGGCATGTTAAACATGTTAAGCATCTAAAGCTTTAAAATGCCACTTTTAAGTGGGCTATGCTTGACATGTGCATTAAATGTTCCCATTATATAGTTTGTTTTATACTTACATGTCACTATTCTGAATGGTTACATTTAAAGCATTTGTTATGGATTGAGGGGAACAAAGACACACATTTATGTATGCAAACCAAGTAGTAACCCATTGTAACTTATTTCAAAATTAAATGAGACTTGTGCTACTCCTGCAACACCAGTGCTTTCAAAAAAAGTGCTGCATCCAGAAATTTAATGGAGTAAACCACGGAGAAAAGGAAGTGACAGATAACTTTCAAACATTAAGTAAACGTACCAGCCATTCCAAGTAGGGCACATGTGTCTGGATATTGTGCATATCATCTGCTGCTATTCCTTTGAATGTCTTAAGGGCTGAGCTGCCTGCTTCACGAATAGACATGGCGAAAGGAACCATCCATCGTACACACTCCTCCAAATCACACCACTTCAGCCCTGAAATACATTAATAAAAGGTCACTTCTAAAGACCAATTCAATTCTGTCATATCTATGATATTGGGAACCCCAAAAAGAAATTTAAAATAGTAATAATAATAATAATAATAAAGTCAGTAGTATACCTGAAACTTTTATCACTAGCTCCAGGGAAGAAAAGTGGAAGAGTGCTGAAGCTGCAAGTAGGCTGTAAGAAAACTCCAGACTCCTTACATCCAGAATACACAGATCCAAGAGCTTAAAAAAATAAGACAATAAAAAAAAGATATAAAATCAATTTGTTGGTGATTTGAATAGCAATTTGATGACAGGTTACTTTATCCAACCAAAAAGTGTAAAATAAATATCCCATTCATATTTCTATATAACTTTTTTAGAATTACAAATGGTTCTGCTGATTTACTTGCGCTTCATACCTCCTGAGATGTTAAGCCTAAAATAACTTGTTACAGCAGTTTTTCTGTTCTTCTTTGAATGAAGTTCTTCATTCCAAATGTGGTCAAACAACTGGTCTCTTACAGTTACTTTTAATAAAATGTCTAGATTAGCATGCATACAGAGTATTCTTAAAGGGACAGTTTACCCAAAGATGTGAATCATGTCATTCATTGTTTTCCTCCAAGTAGTTCCAAGGCCGTATGACTATAAAATATTTTTTAAAATGGCTTCTTTTTCAGTCCATATACAGAGTCAAACAGGTTTGGAACCACAAGAGATTGAGACAAATTACAATAGTTTTGGGTACAATACCATAACTTCATAGGGTCAGTTTTTCCTGAAATCATTCCAAATGTGGTAAAACAACTTATCTTCTCATTCAAAAAAGCATGGTTTTGCTTAATTATATCTAGTACCTTGTAGTGAAAATGTCTGTATTAACGTGCATTAAGGGTTTTTAAAGGGACAGTTCCCCCAAAGATCTAAATTATGTCATTCATACATTTTCCTCCAAACCTCTAAAACTATACAGTGTTTTTCAAAATTGCTTCATTTGCTGTCCATATAAAAAGTTGACCCACAACAGAATTGGTGAGATTTGTTTTGGGTACAATACCCTAAATTCATAGGGTCCAATTATGTTTTGTGACTGCTTTAAGAAAGCCAAAGAAAACAGAACACTGCCAGGCCACTGGCAGGATACGACATGTGCAGAATATAAATTTAATTGAATCGCATCCTTATTCAGTAAATATAGTCGCACACCATATTGCGAATTTAATCCAATTAATTGTGCCATCCTACCTCTGCAATCTGCACAAATGTAGCCTGTGGGTACTGGGCCGTGAGAACCTCAGCAGTCTCCTTTAGATAGGCCATCTGCATATAGATGTTGAGCCAAGCAACCGGGGTTAAAGGACTCAAACTCCAGTTTAACTCCTAAACAACAAATGGAGTAAAGTCAAGTCCATTTCATCATATTACACAGGAGCTGCAGGTTTAGGCATGGTACTGAGGTTAACTGATATAAAGACAATATACCTTCATGATGATAATCTCCATGCTAAGAATGTCATCCTCTGTGCAGGCCCCATCAGTAACATAAGCAAACTGATGCACCTTAGGAGGGTAAATTTCCTTAAAAAAAAAAAAAAAAAAAAAAGCAAACAGGTTTATATTATTCTGCATTTTCCCTACAACAAGAACAACACTCATTCACTCACTATTACAGCCCTTATCAAAAGTTCAGGTTGAAGTGCAAGGGCATGTGAAAGTAAAACTTACTTCCATTTTGGCAGCTATAAAGAGACAGGAGATGCCTATAAGCTGTAGCGTTGTTTTCAGGACATTTTCTTGTGTGGCCATGAACCGATCAAAGTAGTCCTGACCCAAATAAAATGTTTCTCTGTGTAACTTGTACACCTCACAAACCTGAAAGACAGCAGACAGAGGTCAGTTAGTCAATCGTTTAACACTTCAGTATTAAATGAAATACCATAAAAAAAATGCTAATCCAATCATGATTATTCGTTTCCTGAAAGAGTCCTTTGGGTTCAAGCTAGGCATGGGCTGGTATAAGATTTTGACAGCATAATAACCTTGGATAAAAAGATCACGGTTTCATGGTATTTTGGTTACTGCTCTAAAATATATTTGTTTGATATGTCTGGGTAAACATATAAAAAGAATATCCCTCTTTGAACACAATATATTTTATTTTGAGAAACATTTAAAATATTTTGGATCAGTAAACATGTCAGGCTGAATAATTCAAATGAATCATTGACTTTTACTTACTTCAGTAGTATCAAAAACACAGATTTCTAACCATTTAAAAAAAAAAAAACGGCACCTTGGATATATTTTCTACTGAAGTAACTGTTGTCCTAAAAAAATGTAAATAATACAAAAAGAAATCTTACATCCATCATAGGAATGACATAGCAGAAAATGTTTGCAGTTTTAAAACCTTTACTTGTCCAAACCACAGTATACCTTGAGAACGATTATCATCCCATGCCTAGTTTAAACCCCCTCACCCCCATAAAGACTTATTTAATGCAAAGCTTAGGTTATGTACACAGATCATGTGAGGATCATAACTGTACACAAATGAGACTTGTTACGCTGGTTTTGAAGTCATAGCTCAGTATGTTTTAGCACAACAAGGGATAAAATGCAAGATGGTTTGTTTTCCTTTTTTATATTAGATTAACTATGGCTTAATCTTTAAATAGAAAAGTATTTTTCTAGCCAAGCATCCTTCTCTGTACTACAGAGTATGATTTGGTCATAACTGCAAAATATGTATTAGTCTATTATTTTGCACTCAATTATATTGCTGCATGTCTGTTTGATGCATATGGATTGGATGGAATTTACACATCATAAAAAGGGCAAGTTACTTCATATAAAAATATATAATAATAAAAAGAGGGGAAAAAAAGGAGATATGTGGAATATAATGAATTTTAGGATGCATCAACATGCTAATATGAACTGCTACTCAGGAATACAGGGTTTCTGCAGGTTTCAAGTCAAATTAAAGACCATAATGAAATTTCAGGCTTACACAAGGTAAAATGCTAAAAAAAAATAAAATAAAATTAAATGGCCAAAATAAAACCTTAAAAAGTAAAAATAAAAACATTAAAAACAAATATTATTGTAAAGATGATAATTAAACAATATTAATATATAAATAGAGTCAAGCAATAAATGTTTCTTAAAACATCTATAGAAATATATTGTTAGTGATTGGGCAGGTATTGTCCCAATTGGGTATAGCTTTAAGTAGGAAAATTAAGACCCGTTTAAAATGACTTAAGACCTACAAAACAACATTTCAGTGGATTGGAGACTGTAAAAATTAGTTTTTTTTCCCCCGAAATTTAAGACATTAAGACTTTAAGACCCTGCAGAAACCCTTTAGGGGTGAAACTGAGGACTTTAAATTGTAACACATTTAGGGCACCTAATCTATTATAAAGCCTGTTGCATGTTTAGAACTTTGGTCCTGTTTTTTTCCCAGAGAACCCTAATGAATTATCTTTGTCCAGTTGATCATTCAAACACAAACTCAAGTTTTGAATTTGATAAAAAAGGAGTAATTTTGTTTTCTAAATGAAGTAGAAAGACACACAATAGATACCATTATTCTGCAATTCATTTAGTAGAAAAGCTGAACCGACAGCCCCCAAACCAAAACCAGAACGCATGCCTGATTTTACCTCTAGTGTGATGCAGCTTTCAAAAGTGATGAGCATTTTTCTAAGAGCTAAAAGGCACGTGTGTTTTAGACACTGAAAGGTATTTTAGTTGCAATTTATGAAAACAAATATTGCAGACAAGCATGAATCTTTCATTAACCAATCAGTGTTCTCGCACTCCATCAAATAGATTGCATTCTGGGATTTATTTGTAGGGATTTTCCTTTTACTGACAGGAAACCTGACAACTTGGGAAATGCCTTTGTAAACAACTTGAGATTTAGACAAGAAAGGCTGAACTCGCAATGTCTCCACCCTTGTTAATGAGATTAGATTAGGACGTGTAAATGGTTAAACAACTATTACAAACCTCCATTAGCCAGTCCAGCAGAATCGCTCTCATTTTGGGTTGAAGATTTGGATGTCTCTCCATAACACGTGTATCTCGCAGGTAAAGCTTGTCTTTTCCGAGCAGGTTGTTCCAAACTTCATCTTTGCTTGCCCAGCTATAGGAAACAGAATTAAAGTTAGTATCCTCCAAACACAACCCAATGACATAAATCAAGTCTCCTTAGCCCCACAAATACACATCAGGCTGAAGATCACTTCTTAATAATACATTTTACATGTCAACCCTTATACATTTCCCCCTGAAGTAAGCCGTAAAGAATGTAAACAAAGATGACTAGTCAGACAAGATATCTTTTGTACAAGAAAAGTTCACAAGACTATCTAACATTGCTAAACGGCTTTTTGAAAGTAATAAATCTCACCAAAGAGCCGGAAGAGGGGTAGAGCGTGTGGGGGTAATGAAAATGCTTTCTGATGCATACTGCGTAAATCCCACGCTGCCAAAAGCAACCGGTTCCTCGACTTCATCAGGTGTGGGGATCCGCCTGCATGGGCTTGTGTAACCTGTGTCGGGATTCCAGCAGGCCTGAGCAGGAGGACAAGAAGAGAGGAGAGAACAAAAAAAAGCTAAGTGCTCTAACGGATATAAACAAATCCAAAAGCCCGCCCTCTGCAACTATGGCAGACTTCAATGCCATTTTGAATAGGACCATCCATGGCTGAAAAGCTTGTGATGTAAATTCAAACCATGAGATTAAACCTCATCACTTATGATGATCAAAAGTATGAGTGATTACTATCAGGCAACGTCATGCAGAGGACAAGCCCTTGAATTTTTTCACATCCTTGATTCTGCATTTTTTTTTTGCTAAGATTGCAAAAAAATGTTAAAGTTACAATTCCTGATTGGTGTGCCTCAGCTGTTTAACAGTCTGACAATGCTAAAATCAAAACAAAGAATATAGTTCATATATACTACACTGACACTTTCAACTAGAACTTCTATGTTAGCTGCTTTGACACAAATCTACATTGTAAAGGCACTGTATAAATAAAGCATGAATTGAATATACTGAACATTAATCCTAGAGATCGATGCTTAAGTTTCTATGCGACTCCTTGTATAAAGAAAACAAATTGTGATAAAGTTAACATGATGGTTTCGGAGTACATTTGACTTCTTTAATATTACGGTCGGATCTACATACCAGCACTAAAATCACTTTGTAAAGACTTGCATGACTGAAAATGTGAATGGAATTGGTTGCAACTCTTATTTTTAATTTATAAATTAGCCATTTCTATTAAGCAACACTTGTACGTGTTCGAGCTACAATGTCATTAGCTAATCCGCTTGTTAAGTGTGACGTCACGCGAAGCGGCTTCTGGGTCAAAGCGCTCTATTTAACTGAATTGGGAGACTCATGAAATGGTAATAATAAACGTTTACAAAGCGATTTAATACTTTCGAAAATCACAATCGCAGTATACATGTCCATGCCTAATATCCGATGTCAGAAAGTGATTTTTTTTTTTAATCGTTACATTTTTGGTATTTGTTATGCAGCAAGCTTAGAGATTGTTGTGTACACTATGATTTTATATACAATTTACTTTAGTGTGTGATAGGAATAAAACGTGATCATAAACGAGTGATTTCTCCACTCAAATGAATGGCGGCTTGAACCCGGAAACAGTATTACATACATCATCACTTAACAAGCAGATTTCACATTACACAGTTTTATAACAAACACTAAACCACCAAGCGATTTGACATTGAAATTCTTAAATGCAGATTTGATCGGTGACGCGATTTACATGACTAATGTCATCTTAAGCAAAATTATTTACAACTTTTACTTTTCATTTACTATATTCCCTTAACAGCAACTAAATCATTTAATTAAAGATTAACAGCTCTTCTTGAAAATGAAAAAATTATTTTGATATTAGACTATATTCCTATCCAAGCTTAAAATGCACTGGTTAATCAAACTTTAGCCCATCCTGGTGCATATGCACAATTATTAATACATACACATAAATAATACATACATCTAAAATAAAAATTGGCTGAACTCCACTGACATGATATGACTGGTGGTCTGATACACATATCCTTACCTGGGATGCACATTGTTTCTTTCTTGTCATCTCTGTTACCTCTTCATCTGGATCTTGTAAATGCTGTGAATGAAAACAAAAAAAAATTGAGTGATTAAAGACGTACATTACGTTTATTTATAGAAAGTACACAAAGGTGCAAGTAGCTCCCTTACAATAGCCACGTCTGCTTTTCTCTTCCTGGGACGCACTGAAGTTGTTTTAGGAGCTTCATCTGTAGTGTTGATCTGTTCTGTTTGTAGCCTGCATCGAAAAGAAACATATCTTTACATTTCCAGATTGGCCTGAAACTCTGTGCAAGTCACTAACTGGGCCAACTCGGCTGCAACTTTCCATGAACATCGATGGTCAAAACAGCCTTAAAAAGACACGAACACGAAACTTACACTTTCTTGCTTGGCATGATATCCACGCGTGTAACCTCCTTGAATGTCGAGAGCCTAAAAAAACAAGTGTTACTTTATAAAAATGTCCGATTTGTAGAGTTTAATCCCAACCCCCCCTCATGTGTAAAGTCTTCACAAAGCGCTTTGGCGCGGGGAAGTACAGCTGGCCACAGTGTTTAGGAGGTCAAATCCACACGAAAACCTAAACATATTACTTCAAGAACACAGATATACGCACTCCACAGTCTATATTTTCCAATCAAACCAACCATACGCTAATATTAGCCTGGTATTTTTATTAAAACAGCACGTTTTCGTAGCTCTACCCAAGGGAGTCAGAAAATGGCCGAGCCAATCATTATTCCTCATTTCATTGAAGGCGCTCTCGCAGGAGCTCAAAGTTAAAAACTAAACTCTAGGCAATCCGACATCTCCAAAGTTGCTTTCTCAAAACCATTAAGTGTATATTACAAGTTTAATACTACTTTTGTCGATCTTAAACAACCAATCGATTGTGCAACGCGCGTACCTTAACGTGATGCTCTCCGAAAATGACTTCTCTCCAAGGGTATCCTCGACTGCAAAAGTTAGTATGATGTTACACGAGGCATTATTTGGTAAAACTCCTCCAGTAGTCTGTAAGCAGGCAGCATATGGCCGGGATGTGATGTGTTCCGCAGTCCGCTCGTTCTGCGCTGGCGCCAGTATTTTTGCGCCTTGTCTTATAACCCGCCAGCAGTCGTTAAAAGGGGCCGTCAACGCGGGTCATTTAAAATCCCCGCTCTCCTAGAATGACAACGAAGCACCGCGATTAAAAACGCCGAAGGACTGACAACAGCGCGCAACGAGCGTGCAAAATATCAGCGTTGTACATCAGACATTAAGTGGCCAATAAAACAAAGTTTAGAAACATGAAGATTTTGCCGGCAAAATGAGGCGTGTGTTTGATGACGTCTTGCGGGGGCGGTGTTGAGGTAGCGGAAGTGCGTTGAGCACATGGCTAGCAGGCTCAAGATGTAAACAATCCAAGTGCGCGGGTTGAATAGTTGGATTTGATTGATCTGTAATGTCATATATGTACGGAATGCGAAGTTTGGGCTGTATTTGGCTGGCCGTTTGAGATGGCAAGTGTTGTCAATGTGATAAAGCGCATTATTTTGTTAGTTTCTGCTAGTGGGTCATGCAGGCACATAAGTTTCCAGTGTATTGACTGGCGCCCCCTTAGAAATGCACTATATACTGCAATATACAGCAGCAGCAGTAGTATAAGCATGTAGACTATATACAGTGTGGTTTGGCATTATGTCCACACTTTCTCTCAGTAACCTTTGACCAGTCACGTGACCATTATAACACAAATCTGTGCTTTCGTTGCTTGAAGAAATGAAGTTTTTAAATCTTTTTGGAAGGTTACAGTCAAATATCATTGGCATGATTCACGTCCGAGCTTTGCCAGGTAACGCATTCATTTCACCAGAGTAAGTTTGTAGGCCTAGAGGAGAAATGCTGAACTCAACTGCTTTTCTTTTTGTAGGAACCCCCTTGAACCGTTTGACCATCTCCGACATCAAAGAGGAGGCCTGTCGCGAGGCGGAAATTTACTACAACGCGGGACTTGTACGTAAAATGTATCATAAACAACGTACATGAATGCCTCACCTTTGAAAGACTCATTATTTAAAGAAGGATATTTCCAGTAAACCAATGCATCTGTTTTAACGATTCGACAAATAACGGTTCATAAATCAACTGACTTAATGAACCGAGTCATCTCCACCGAACAACTGCAATGTTGCTAGATTCAGGAGGTCTTTAGACTACCCTGGCTATATGTGTCATGATAACCCCTCCTAAACATTTTGTTGGCAACATTTAACATTTAAAAAGTTGTTCAAATGATAAAAAGCACATACTTTATTATAATTGTACAAAAGGAAACCACAGCTATTTGCTAATTGCTCATGTATATTACATCTTGAAATTAGCTTGTACCTAAAATTGATTATGTAACAATAAATTATATGGGGAAAATGCACTGGTCATTTTGTTATAGAATGTTTAGTGTACTTGAAATAAAATTTAAAATCATAGTTCACACAAAAATAAAATATAATTCTCGTTTACTCATCCTTTACTTGTCCAAAAAGAGTTTCTTTCTTCTGCTAAACACACAATAAGATGTACTGAAGAAAACTAAAAAACATGTAACCATTTACTACCATAGTATTTGTTTTTCTTGTTTGGTTTTCTACTATGGAAGTCAACAGTTACAGGTTTTCAGCTTTCTTCAAAACATCTTATTTGTGTTCAACAGAAGAAAGAATGTTAATGCATGCAATTGTGTAACATTGCATTTAAAAAATTTCCCAGTTATGGGTTGCAGCTGGAAGGACATTCGCTACGCAAAACATATGCCGGATACGTTGGCTGTTCAATCCGCTTTGGTGACCCCAGATAAATAAAGGGACTAAGTTGAAAAGAAAATGAATGTATTAAAAATTAAAATATCTGATCATAAAAAATATTTGATATATTATATATTATATTTTTTTTGCAATACTTTTTTTCTTAACAAATCCAGTTTAATATTTAAAATCACCTTTTTTTTACATAAGATAGGCAATCATTTTAAACCATTTGACTTTTTATTTTACACAGTGATGCAGTTTTGTATCATGGCTATGTAAATAAATCATCACACTACATCAGAAGATAATTTAGCAACTTCTAGCAAAAATATCAACCTGCATTTAGCAACTTTTAGCAACAAAACCATTACACAAATTCGGTGACTAAATATGTGAAGTTTTTATCCTACAGTGATTTTAAAAATGTCTTTATTAAAACACTATAAGCCATGAAATAACCAATCAGGATCTAAATCACAACGTTAGTCAAGTCAAGCTTTATTGTCTTTTCAATACATGTTTGTACATACAGTAGAATGAAATGTCATGTCTCACAGGGTCACATAAACATAGTCATAAATATGAACACAATACTGAAAGTAAGGACTATTTTAAACCTATACATAACTAACATACAAGAGCAGTTTAACTATAACAACTTATAACTATTCATGTACTATAAATACTTAACTATGCACATGACCTAAGACAGACTATACAAGTGCTTTTACATGAAGCAGAACGATATTGTGCAAGATATTGTGCTACAAAAAAGATTGAAGAAAACAAGTAGTGCAACATGATTTGTGGTACATACATTGTCCTTATTGAGTCCTTGTAAGATAGAGTTTAAGTAAAGCGTCAGGTGCATATGGAGAGAAGATTTTTACAGGTGGTTTGTCAAGCCCACTCACCTGTGTGAAGCACACCCAGAAACACTCAATGTTCTAGAGATTTGGAGTGATTGTAAATAAGTGTCAAATATGCAAACTGCTGCAAGTGTCTGGAACATTGTCAGAGATGAAAGAGTGTTTATACAGGTGGTTTGTCAAGCCCACTCACCTGTGTGAGGCACATTCAGAATCACATGACGTTTTGAGGTATTCAGAATTGCATAATGTTTTAAGGTTTTTGTGTGTTGTGGTGAGGAGGAGAGGAGAGGGAATCCTGGTTTTAGGAGCTGAGATTGGAAAGGTAATTAGAATTGAGGCTCTAACAGCTTGAGGAAAGAAACTGTTGTGTAGTTTACTGACTTTGATTTGAAAAATGCATATGAAAATCAGACTGTGTGTGTACTGTATACATCAGAGATATGCAAACTATGAACTAACCCTTGATTTGGCCTGCCATCCAACCTGAGAAGAGAGGGAGAAGGGGCAGATTGGGACTGTTTACAGACTTTGATTTCTAATTAAATGTAATATTTTGTTTGTTTGTTTTATTGCTAAGATCCAAAAGATAATGGAAATTAAATGTTCCAGGTAAATGAATTAGATTTTGTGATTGTATTTTTATTGCCATAAGTTACAATAAAGAAGTTTTTCTGCATTAATAATACAATTTAAAGTCATCTTTTCTATTCATTTTTAAATATTATGAAATAAATTAGCTATTGCAAATTTAATGTAGTATAGTTTGGAATATTTACCTTCGGCAATAAAGGGACTAAGCTGAAAAGAAAATGAAAGTATGAATATTTACTTTCGGCCCATGGCACTCAATGATACTTGGTTTTCGGCCCTTTATAGGAAAAAGGTTGGGCACCCCTATACATGATTGTAGCTCTATAGTCAACTCCAGGTCACATGTCAACTCTAATGTCTCATGCTGTCATTTTAACGTGATGGGTATTATTACATGAGGTCTTCATGACCTCAAGGGCGATTCATATTTCAAATAATTAAACATTTTGAAACAAACTTTATATATGAATTGATTATTTAAAAACAGTCAGCAAGTGTTCAATATGTAATTGCTACTACTTTTGTGCTCTGTGACAGGACGGGCTGATCATTGAAAACATGCATGATATTCCATACACCCTTGACGTGGGTCCAGAAGTGTGTGCATGTATGACAGCTGTGTGTACGGCAGTCAGAGGCCTTTATCCATCCTGGCCGCTCGGTGTACAGATTCTCTCAGCCGCAAACCACTCAGCTCTGGCCGTAGCTCTGGCCTCAGGTGGATGCCATTTCAAACCAAGGCATTCACCGACTTAATCAATTTAACAAATATTAACTTGCATCTGCCTTTGCACAGGGCTGGATTTTATTCGTGCAGAGGGGTTTGTTTTCTCACATGTTGCAGATGAAGGCCTGTTAAATGCCTGTGCGGGTGAGCTGCTGCGCTACCGCAAGCGCATTGGAGCAGAGCATGTTCAGATCTTTACTGACATCAAGAAGAAGCACAGGTATGATCAGATTCGAGTGCAGTACGTGCTGGCTGACCACAGAGAGTGATGTGGTTTCTGCTATTCTGTGTCACATGAGTGATATTTTCATAATGATCATTGCAGCGCTCATGCCCTGACTGCAGATGTGAGCATAGCTGAGACGGCTCAAGCTGCTGAGTTCTTCCTCTCTGATGGAGTCGTCGTCACAGGAAGTGCCACTGGAGCAAAGGCTGATCCACAGGAACTGAGGGGTGAGTCTCGTTTTATCTACTTTCAGAAAACACTTTACGGTAAGGTTCCTGTAGTTAATGTTATTGTATTTACCAACATGTAAGAACAATGCACAGTATGCTTATATTACAGCGTTTTACACTTATATTAGAACATTTATTCTTTTTTGCTGACACCCACTGACTTCTATTGTGTTTTCTTTCCTACTATGAATGTCAATGGGTCCCAGCAATCTGCATTTTTCAAAATATCCTCTTTTGTGTTCGACAGAATAAAGAAATGAATAAATGTTTAAAAGCAATTAATAATGCGTTTAAGCTGTAAATCTTGAACCATAATAAACCATGCTGTTTCACATTTATACTCTTTTAACTAAACAAAACCTTATTGAAAAGTGTGCCCATATTATTTAATCACTATGTGCTGTGTTTCTTATTTTTATTTTACTGTGTACATTTTTAATGCATCATTAAGTAAATGTTTTGTGATGTAATAATATCCAGTATCTTTAGTTAAACTATGTGTAGTACACAGTGGTGGAAAGACTACTAAAAAAATCATACTCAAGTAAAAGTACCATTACTTGCCTAAAAATGTAGTGCAAGTAGAGTAAAAGTATCTGTTGTAAATATTATTTAAAGTATGAGTAAAA